GAAACATCCAGAATAGTATTTGACCAAATAGCTGAGCACCATGGCCCAGCCACATTGACCCACAAAATTAGCCAACACATCCCCATTCCAGGGTCTATCTTAATTGCTAGATTGTGAAATCCCCAACATAGGCACTATCTTTTATCTTTCTCTCCAGCACTCTCTTAGTGATGGATATACAGTAAGTACCCAATAAATGCATATTGATTTGAAAAAACAAACAAAAACCCAAAAGTGTTTTCAAAAATAGCATTTTGTTCCTACCACATCTCTTTGGGGTGGACATACTCACCCCCACTTTCCATAGGAGAAAACAGAACCTTATGAAAATATGCATAGGATCACAAACCTCGTAGTGGCAGAATCTGGGCCCCAACTATGGTCCTTGTGCACTATACTACAATGTCCTTTTATTTGACCTGAATGTCAGAGGAGGTATTCTGGGGTACTCTGCATCAGTATTTTATGGAAACTGTTATTCAAAGTCTAGCCCAACTACCACCAACAACAATGAATATTTTATTGAGGTCTACCATTTGCTTGTCAATGTCAATTAGTTATTTACTGAATAGCTATAAGCAGCTTGCCCTGACTGGAGGTGGATGATTGACCTATTTCTCTATCCATCCATTCTTCTGTCTTTCCCTTCCTCTTTCCAGCTGATACTTATGGAGCATGTGCTATGCACCAGACCCCAGGGGAGGCACTGGGAACCCAAGGATGGCTAAGACCTGGTTCTTCCCTCACGGGGCTCACAGTCAAGGGGTGTCCCAGACCCACTATCCACCTGCCATGAGGGCTTGATGGCAGCATATGTCTCCAGCGGTGGGGAAGCCTGTGAGTACCATGATGCCTGGGGTCTCAGGAGGGACTTGGAACCAGCAAGAATGCCCTCACGGGTGAGGGACAGATTGGCTATGGGCAGTGAGGCAAATCCCTGGGCTTCTCAGGCATGTCACAGGAAGGAGAAAGAATGAATAATGCTGCTCTCTCCTTCTCCTTTTTTGAAGCTGAAAAAGACCACATACTTTTGCCATGAGCAACACTGCCCCCTGACTACCTGGTCTCTTTCTTATTTTTATCATTATTATTTTCAATTATATATCAGTATGTATTATCAAATGTTCAGGGTCATCAGTTGTAGCAGGTGGTCTGGAGGTTCTGTTCCTTCCATCTTCCCCCCTCAGCTCTTTACACCAAAGCCACAGAGGAGACAGCTGCCTACTCGCTACCAAGCCCTCTTTGTAGTGCTTCTTTCCTTGGGCAGCTCTACCTGCAAAGTCTGCCACCTGGAAGAGAGCTTTCATCCACATGGACCTTGGGGGACCTCAGAGCCTTCTCACGTACTCCTCCATGTCCTTGGCCACTCTTCTTACATGGCTCCTCCTCATCCTTTCCTGTCCTAATTCACATGTCACCTCTTTGGAAAGACTGTCCCTGACCTCTTCCCCCACATCTGAAGTAACTCCTTTCCCATTTGCTTCTTGCTATCTCTAATTTTCTGGCTTATCTAGTTGTTGACTCCCTCCACCACTGGAATTCAAGCTCCCTGAGGACTTGCCTGTTCTGTTCCATGTGCCTGGCACTATGCCTCACATGCTGTAAGTGTTCCATCACCATTTATTGAATGGATGCAAGAATCTTTGGAGACACATATCCTGTCTCTGCACAGCACAGCACCACTGACCCTTGTCCTTGCTAGAACAGCCTCAGTCACAGGGAACTCATACCTCCCATCCCTCTTTCAGGTGTTCTGATTCAGGGCTGAATGCACGTCCGTGGTTGAAATCAGAACCTTGAATTGAGGTGGCTCAGTTCCACTGAACCATTCCTTCTGAACCCTTATGGCACCTGCACCTTCCTTATGGGCTATCTGGTAATGTCCCTTGACTGATTCTTGCCCATGTTCCCTGAGCTTCTCAAGGACCTGATGTGCTCTCTCCTATCTCTGACAGCATTAGGTGCTAAAGAAATAACTGTGGGGTATCCAGACACAATTGCTTTTAAACTCATCACCATCTAGATTTGGATAGAGCCAAGCAGCTCTCTGACCATCCCAGATAGGGTTATATCCCCCTAGTAGTAGTATAGTATATTCTGGGAGTGGATAAGGATTAGATCTTGGGAACTGGTCAGTCTGGGTTTGAGTTCTGGCTCCACTACTGAGTTTAGGCAAGTTGCTTAACCTGAGACTCAATTCTTCATCTGTAAAATGGGCATCATTATAGTACCCACAGTTTGGAGTTCATGGATGGAGGAGCATATCTAGGGCACATCTGGAGAGCCAGAGAGGTGAGGAAGAATTCCTGTCAAGCTGTTGCTCCATTACATATGCTTATTGAACATGGTGGTTTGTTAAGAGCAGGCAGAATCTTGGGGCGCCTGGGTGGCTCAGTCATTAAGTGTCTGCCTTCGGTTCAGGTCCTGATCCCAGGGTCCTGGGATCGAGCCCAGCATCAAGCTTCCTGCGGAAAGCCTGCTTCTCCCTCTCCCACTCCCCCTGCTTGTGTTCCCTCTCTCGCTGTCAAATAAATAAATAAAATCTTAAAAAAAAAAAAAAAAAGAGCAGGCAGAATCTTGCTGCAGGTGGATGGAAGAGGATGGTGGCAGAGAAAGGAGCAATAAGAACATGATAAAAATCACAGTAGGGACTGTGGAGGGTCGCTCCGTGATACAGGGCCATACAGCATCTGGGGCTCTCAGTCACAGCCTTAGAGCTCCAGGCAAAAGGTGGACTGTGCTAAGCCACCTACTCTGTTTAGGACACAGTGACACCCATAATGTTAAAAAGATTTCCGCCAGGAATGATTAAAAAATACATATATAAACTCACAGTCACATTTTGGCATGTGAATAATAAGACCTCTAAATATGCTAGGTTTTGAATCTTTGAGGGCAAGATTAAAGGAAGCTTCATCCTGGAAACCCTGATCCTTGTAGGGCAGCAGACATGGCACAGACACTTAGGAGATACTGCTTGGATGAGTGAATGAATTTGGAATTTTGTATTTGGGAGGCCTGTCATTCCTATCCCTTCCATGGCCATGGCAGCAGCTACTCATGGTCGGGACTGGGGTGGGGTTCAACTCTGTAGAAGAGTCAGCTGAGGCAGGGGCCAGAGAGGAGGTGGGCTGGGTGCCTGACTGGGCTGGATGGCTAGAAGTGTGGTCTTGCCCATGCACAGAGCCTGAGGGAAAGCAGGGTGGCTGGAGAGAGGCTGCTTAGAACCTCGGAACTGGGAGGGTCCAGCAGAGATCCGTGGTACCAGCCCTTCCTTCGACCACGTGGAAATCTGAAACTGCCCAATTCCTGAGGTCTCCAAAGATAGGGAGCCACCACTTTTCTCCCTTCCTTTTTAAAAGTTACATTTCCTTGGTGACTCTTTCTTTTCTTTTCTTTTTGAAGATTTTATTTATTTATTTGAGAGAGAGAGAGAGCATGAGAGGGGGGAGCGTCAGAGGGAGAAGCAGACTCCCTGTTGAGCAGGGAGCCTGATGCGGGACTCGATCCTGGGCCTCCAGGATCATGACGTGAGCCGAAGGCAGTCGCTCAACCAACTGAGCCACCCCGGCGCCCAGTGACTCTTTCTTATGACTGACCACTGACCACAGTCTTTTGCTTTATTAGGAGACTATGTCTCATTCTTTGGGCCCTTAGGAAAATTTAAAGAAGAGCTCAGCACCCTCAAATGCTTTATTGAACTGATTTACTGCAATGTTTTTTTTTTAATTTTTTATTATTTTATTTTATTTTTTATTTTTTTATTTTTTTAAAGATTTTTATTTATTTATTTGAGAGAGAGAGAATGAGAGACAGAGAGCATGAGAGGGAGGAGGGTCAGAGGGAGAAGCAGACTTCCTGCCGAGCAGGGAGCCCGATGTGGGACTCGATCCCGGGACTCCAGGATCATGACCTGAGCCGAAGGCAGTCGCTTAACCAACTGAGCCACCCAGGCGCCCCTTTTATTGTTATTTTAATCACCATACATTACATCATTAGTTTTAGACGTAGTGTTCCATGATTCATTGTTTGTGCATAACACCCAGTGCTCCATGCAGAACGTGCCCTCTTTAATACCCATCACCAGGCTAAGCCATCCTCCCACCCCCCTCCCCTCTAGAACCCTCAGTTTGTTTTTCAGAGTCCATCATCTCTCATGGTTCGTCTCCCCCTCCAATTTCCCCCCCTTCATTCTTCCCCTCCTGCTATCTTCTTCTTTTTTTTTTCTTAACATACATTGCATTATTTGTTTCAGAGGTACAGATCTGAGATTCAACAGTCTTGCACAATTCACAGTGCTTACCAGAGCACATACCCTCCCCAGTGTCTATCACCCAGTCACCCCATCCCTCCCACTCAACCCCCACTCCAGCAACCCTCAGTTTGTTTCCTGAGACTAAGAATTCTTCATATCAGTGAGGTCATATGATACATGTCTTTCTCTGTTTGACTTATTTTGCTCAGCATAATACCCTCCAGTTCCATCCACGTCGTTGCAAATGGCAAGATCTGCAATGTTTTTTTAAAGTACTCTAACTGGACCTGTATATGATGCCCATTGTAGGCCTTAGTAATGAAGAAGGTTCAAGTGGACAGGAAAATCATGGTATTCTGGAAGCTCAACCACCAATCTTTAAAATTCTGACTCAGTTGAAGTTGTCAGACTAGGTGACCAAGATGAAATAACCAAATGCTCCAAAGTTGAGTGGAACATATAACCATGAGGCTCCGTACACAACTAGGCCTACTGGGTTTGGAAGGTGATCTGGTATCTTGACATCTGGGAAGCCCCAGAGTAGCTGGTGGATTAAAAGAAGGGCTCCAGGTCTGGGGGATACAGTGTGAATAGCAAGGCCTTCTGGGAAAACTATGTGGGTGATTGGATTGAACTCAGAAGAGTAATTAAATGAGGGATTTCATACAAATAGCAGTAACTGCAACCAATCGAGCTTTAATGATAAAAATAGCTATTTTTTCTATTTGTTCATTTTTCTTTACAGAAAACAACATGGTTTCTTTCTTGTTTCCCCAGCATCATTAAGGTATGATGGACAAATATAAATTGTACATACTTAGGTTATACAATGGGATTTTTAAAAGGAATACAATGTGGCGATTTAATACATGTGTACATTATGAAATGATTACCACAATCAACTTAATTAACACACCCATCACCTCCCATGGTAGCCTTTTGTTTTAAAAGCTCTAGTATGTATAAGGTATTCTGCTAAGTCTTCTACATTGTACTATCTTATTTACTCCTTCATATTATATTACCCATTTACATCCTTTACATTATCTCATTTACTCCTCACACCAATCTGTGAATCAGGCACCATTCTTATGCCTATTATACAGGTAAGGAGACTGAGGTACAAGGTGCAATAAATTTGCCAGGCACTGTGTTAAATACTCCATACCAGTGTCTAGGGATTTTGTGCCCCCCTTCCTCCCAGGGACATTGACAATGTCTAGGGATATATTTTGGTTGTCACGTAATGTTGGGAGGGTTGCTACTGGCATCTAGTAGGTAGAAACCAGGGATGCTGCTAAACATCGTACAGTGTACAGGACAGCACCCCCAGTCCTACCCTTGACAATTACCCAGTTTACAATGTCAGTAGTGCCCATGTTGAAAAAGCCTGCTGTCTACTTTAACCCCTATAACATCCCTGGTGAGAAAATTGAGGCTCACAGGGATGCACTCAGCCACCCAGGTTCTCAACTGGTCAGGGGCAGGGCTGGAGTTTGGAGCTATATGTGTCTCATTGCTAAGCCAGTGCTCTTAACCACACAGGTAGATTGCTCCAAAGGTATTGGTATACTACATTTCAGGGATGGAGAAGATGCTTAGGCTTGAGAAGTCAGATACTGGAGCACTGCTATCAAGATGTAGATATCACAGTGGGTGAGCTGCAATTTGGGGTCTCACACGGGAGCATGGTGTTGAGTGTGGGGGAACTGTGTTCCTGCTTGATACCAAGGGGAGGGCACATCAACACTAAGCACCTTCTCACAGGAAGAGGATATCCCCTAAGAAAGTTTGAATGGAGTTGGCTGCAAATTCATTCATTCATTCATTCATCCATTCATCCATTCATCCATTCTGTGTTTATTGAGCATTGACCCTGTGCTTGGTGCTGGTGATATGATGGCAAAGGAGACAGGCCAGTTTCCTGTCCCCATTGCACATATATTCAAGTGAGGAGATGGACAACATTCCAACCAATAAACAAATAGATTAAGTACATTGTGATTAGCACCTTTTGAAGAGGATAAACAAGGTGCTGTGACAAAAGATAACAGGTTGGTGGATATTTTACATGGGGAGTCAAGGAGGCCTTCCCGAGGTGGGGCCATGTAAACCATATGAAGGCTGAGAAGGACCCAGAGGAAAATAACAGGCAGTGGGAATGGCAAGGATAGAGATCATGTGGTAGTTATAAACTCAAAATGTTCTAGCAACACACAGAGAATAATATACAGGACTATTTGAAGTGCCAGCCTGTGACTCCATGCCAGAGACATGGTAAGAAGCTTATCCCAGAGTGTGCAGTAATGCATGGCTTCATTCACTGAGAAAGTCTTACTATGATAAAATGTCAGTATACTCTAGTAGTGTGTTTTAATGATGTAGTTGTTTGACATTATGGCCCAAGCTTCTCATCTCATCATAGACTGGTTACATTTTGTGGATGGTAGCTGGTTTGGGGACCACACTCTGACTAGTCCTGAAGTACCAGATGCTGGTGGTATTCCAACCAGATCCCCTCAGTCTATCCAGGCAGTCATGGCTTCCCATGTCTTCCTGTCTAAGAGTTTTTTTTTTTTTAAAGATTTTATTTATTTGACAGAGAGAGACAGTGAGAGAGAGAACACAAGCAGGGGAAGTGGGAGAGGGAGAAGCAGGCTTCCCACTGAGCTGGGAGCCTGATGTGGGACTCGATCCCAGGACCCTGAGACCATGACCTGAGCCGAAGGCAGATGCTTAATGACTGAGCCATGCAGGTGTCCCCTAAGAGTATTCTTCAGCCCTGGATGGACACCTGACAGAGCACTGGGGAGTTATGTCCCTAGAATGATGCTCAACAGTGAGGGATGGGACATGGTGGATAAACTCCCCACCTTCCTCACTCTGAGCAGGATGACTCTGAGGCATGTCCACACAGAGGGTCCCCAGCAGAGCTGAGCCCCATTTGTTCACAGAGGTAATCCACTCATTAATGTGCCCTTACACTTTCCCTTTCCCTCACCATGCTTCCTGGGATCTTCTCTCAAATTATCTACTTGAACCAAAACTCTTGTCTCAAGGACTGCTTCTGGGAAAACCCTAATGGAGAGCATGGCTGAACTATAATGCACAAAGGGCAAATGATGGCAGTGGAGGGCAGATAGCTGTGCAGAGCAGATCATGCAGGACTTTGTTGACTGTGCTAAGAACTTGGACTTTAAGCTTGTGGGAGCTTTTGAAGAGCTTAAGTAGGGGAGAGATATTACATGATCTGTTTATAACTCAAAAGCTCCTCAGGTTGCAATTTGTTTAATGGATTGGATAGAGCAGGAGGAGAAGCAGGGGACCAGTTGGTAAGCTGTTTGCAGCAGTCCAGGGAGGAGCTGGAGGTAGCTAAGGGATGGTGGTACAGATAGAGACACATGCATAAGTTTGAGATCCATTTTGGAGGATAAACCAATAAGACTGGATGGTAGATGGACTATGAGGGGGGGCAAAAGAGAGTCAAAGATGACACCTTGATTACCTGATTCCCAGTGTCGATTGAGGGAGCCGGGGGTGGGGGGCGGGGATTTTTGCCACAAAAGGCACTCAAGAAGTCAATGATTAGAAAGAGCTTCTCTTCTTTGATAGTTCCCCCAATTTAACTAAGCCATGCTAGCTGATCCAGGAATCCACAGCATGCAGTAAATAAATATAAAATGTATGTATCTGGGTAGAATCTCTGAGACAAGATTAAAACCACCATTACAGCCTCAAGGAGAAGCCGTTCCCTCTATTTCACCAAGCACGGGAGCATTAAACTTAACAGGCTAAAAAATGAAGTGCAGGACCAGCCCAGTGACCACAACAGCTACTGACAAGCTCACACTGAGAGCATGCCCTCAGAGTGAAACGGGAGACACAGGAGAGGTAGAGAAGGCACCTGGGACAGGGCCCCGAGCTGCAATAGCCAGGGCTGCCAAACCATCCTCAAGGCCACCTGGAAATGCACACGTACATTTTCCAAGATCTGACTGCAGTGGGAGGGAGTAAAGACCTGGGACCATATTCTATTCAGACTGTGACCTCTGCTGCACAGGACATCTGGAACAAACACAAACCAACAGTACCCTTGTTTCAACAAACAGACCAAGACTTATGTGCCCCAAATGAGGGTTTCTTTAGAAAGTGGTCTCCTTGGGAGACCCTAAGATAATAGGTTTCCACAGTCAGAGATGTCCAAAGTTAGCATGGGCTGCCCCAAGGTGCAAAGAGCATCTGGCCACTGGATGGGATAAGTATTTGGCAGCATTTTGAGAGGGACTCTGATGGAAATGTCTGATTCCAGTCCTGAAATTCAAACTGCTTTCATATTCCCAGTTGATGACACTCACAAAGCAACCAGTTTCCATACATTCTATGGCACTTGGATTTAACCACAATTATGATATCTGGATTTATACTTTGCTTTGTTCACCAGATTGATGTCTATCTATCTATCTATCTATCTATCTATCTATCTATCTATCTATCTATCTATCATCTATCATCTATCTATCTATATCTATCTATCATCTATTAACTACCTTTTCAGTGATGTTTGATTCTTACCAAAACCAAAATCATATTCATCATAAAGCCTGACCACCAATGAACATTGTTCAAAACAAAATATAGAGATTATGAACTCATGCTCTAGAATTAGATTAATGGAGTTCAAATCCCAGTTCTGTTCCTTACTTGCTGTTCAGTCTTGGGCATGTTAGTTAGCTACTCTGTACTTCAGTTTCTTAATCTGTAGAAGGGGAAATATCTCAGCGCTGTTATGAAGATTAACTGCATTAATACACCTAACGCCTTAGAGTAGCACCTGGTCAGCCTTCAGGTCTTGGTTAAGGGTCTGTGATTATGATTGTTGTATGTTTGGGGTCTGAAGGTGTATCCTGAGGAGTAACTCGGTGGAGTCTGAGCCAGTGCAGCATCCCCACCTGGAGGGGTGTGCATCCTCAGCTCTGGGTGTTCCTACCAGATGAACCTTCTAGATGCTCCTTTTGATGGCCTGTGACCCCACAGCTCAGTGATTTCCCAGGTAAGTGTCATCTATACTCTGCTGATCTGCATGCACAGACCTTTTGGCACCTGCTGGTGAAGTTGGGACAGAGATGGGGAGGGCTTTGAAAGATACTTTATTTTTTATTATTTTTTTAAAGATTTTATTTATTTATTTGACAGAGAAATAGAGAGAGAGCACAAGTAGGCAGAGTGGCAGGCAGAGGGAGAGGGAGAAGCAGGCTCTCCGATGAGCAGGGAGCCCCATGCGGGGCTTGATCCCAGGACTCTGGGATCATGACCTGAGCCGAAGGCAGCCGCTTAACCGACTGAGCCACCCAGGTGTCCCGAAAGATACTTTAAATGTTTTCTGTCACTTTATAAATAGTATTTCCATTGGTTTTGAGAAGGTTACAAGAGGAAAGTATATTCTTCATGGCAAAATTGCAAAATCTCAAAATGAACAAAGAAGAAAATAAAACCACCTGTATCCCACCACCTATAGATAATTATGTTCAACAGTGTATGTAAGCCTCCTATTGTTTTTATGGGGTCATTAGTAGCTGTAATTATTAAATATTAACAATGCATTTTATTAACCTATGTTTCTCTTACTCTGATCTCATCTTATCCTTACCACAACCTTGTGAGGCGGGTAATCATTTTTGTCATTTTATAGGTAAGAAGATTGAGGTTCAGAGAAATGTGACTTGCTCAAGGTCAAACACTGCTTCATAAACTGCCTTTTCCCTTTAACGATGTATTGTAAGCATTTCCCCATGTAGTTAAATATACTTCTACAACATGATTCAAAATTTTAAATATTTAATTTTGTTACCAAGGAATACATTCACATGGTTAAAAAGAATACAAAAAGACTTACAGTGAAGAGCCTTCTTTCATTCCTGTACCCTATCTGACTATTCCTCTCACCAGTAACTGTCGTTCATTTCTTGGGTCTTCCACCAGAATCTCTTTATGATTATATAAGGAGATATGCATATATGTTTTTATTTTTCTGCAAAAGGTTGCACACTATAAATGTTGTTCCTATCTGGGAGAACTCTCTATATCAAGTATACAGAGAACTTTTTCATTTCTTTTTTGCCACTCTACAGTAATCCATTACTGAATATAAATATGCCACAATTTATTTAACCAGTCACTATTGATGGACATTTGAATGTTTTTTCAGTATTGTCTTTCAAATAATGCTAAAAGAATAACATTGCAAATGAGTCATTTTTCACTTTTTAAAGGCTGCCTAGTATTCCTGCTGAGTGACATGACACAATTTACTTAACCAATCTACTATGGATGGATGTTTAGGTTGTTTCTGGGTTTCCCTTTGATAAATAATGTCCCACTAATAGGGAGCAGCCTCTATTCAGCTCCATCAACTATGTCTATGCTGGAATGTGGGTTCTGAGGTACCAGATCTGATTATTTTCAAGAGAAGCTAAAAATCCAGACTTTATTTGGTGAAATAGCCATTTTAAAATGTTGCCAATTAGGTAAATTTTTTAAAGATTTTATTTATTTGACAGAGAGAGAGAGAGTGAGAGAGCACAATCAGGGGGAGCTGCAGGCAGAGGGAGAAACAGACTCCCCGCTGAGCAAGGAACCCAATGTGGGACTCAATCCCAGGACCCTGAGATCATGACCTGAGCTGAAGGCAGACCTGACCCACCCAGGTGCCCCGCCAATTAAGTAAAAATTAAAGAAAGAAAACCGCTTTCCAGGTCAAACAAAGCATAGCTAGTGGCCTTTTAGGCCTGTGGCCTCAATTTAAAGACTTTGGGCTAACAGAATGAGCCTTGGAGCCAGATGAAACTAGGTCCAAATCCCAGCTCCTTTTCTTACCCACTATGTGACATCAGGAAGGTAATCTAAGCTCTCCAGTCCTCAATTTCCTCCTTTATAAGTGGGGACAATGATAGATTACACTACATGGGATGGTAGTAAGGTGTATTTAGTACATAGCAAGCAATCAATAAGCAGTGGATATCATTATTATTGCTGCTGCTGATTACCTCCTACCTGTCAGCCTGGAGCCTGGATTTGTGGATAGAACTGGTAATGTGGAGCTCTGAGAATAGCAGTTGGTAGTTATGATTGAGTTGATTTGAAATCCTCTGAAGGTTTTGCTGTGAGGATGAATGTTATGGCCATCTTTGAGACCAACAGAGAATAACTGAAGTCATGAGGGTGGGTCCTTGATCCTTCCAGGTTAATGTCCTTATAAAAAGAGACATCAGAGATCTCGATCCTTCTCTCTTCACCATGCAAGCACATAGCAAGAAGGCAGTCATCTGCAAGCCAGGAAGAGAGCTCTCACTAGGAATTAAGTCCTGCTGGAACCTGTCTTGGACTTCCCAGCCTCCAGAACTGTGAGATACTATTATTATCATCCCATTTTATAGATGAGAGCACTGAGGTTTATAGAAGAGGGAACTTGTTCAAGGCCACAGAGCTGTAAGTAGTAGAGCTAGGGTTCAAATCCAAGATGTTCCAAATCCCTGCTCCATATATTGGCAGACAGATCACACAGCTAGTAAGGGGTGTGGCCACTTTGATTCCAGATCCATTGCATGAGCTTGTCTTTCCAAGACTTCTCACCTATAAAAAGGATGATCCTTCCCTCTCAAGGGAATCATGGCAGTGACTCATAACTGAGAAAGGTTAGAACCAGTGATTTAGAGTTATCTTTCCAAGCCACATGCAAACCCCTCTAAACCTCCGTGGAAAGAGCATCATTACATCTCTCCTTCGTGCTTATAGAAGAATCTCAAGGAGAAAACCTGTTTCCTTATGCGCTCTTCCTTGCGCGCGCTCTCTCTCTAAGAAGAAAAGAATTTCCTCTCCAATAGTGAAACTAGATGAGCATGTTAAGCCCTGAATAGAAGATTATTAACACAGTCTACAGTCAGCCTTCCAGCTCACAATCTAATTAGTTGGAAGAGGCCCCTTAGGGTCTGCATCAGAGAAATCTTCTAAGGCCCCAGAATGTCATCTAATGAGAAAAGATGGAACCATAGAAGGAGAGGGAGAAACTTGTGTTTGTGTGTCTGTGGGAGGGAGGAGAGGTTCCAGCTCCTGTGTATACCTCAATAATCACTTCCATGGGTACCTCCAGCCAGAAAACTAAAAAATGTAATCACACAGCTCTCAGCTAGCACAGCCTGGATGGTTGTCGCCCTGGAGCCTGGTATAGAGGACACCTCCTAGGATTTTCCGGAGAGAGGAAGATTGGTTTTCTTTAGAGCTACTGTGAGCCCCAGGTAGCCAGCCTCTTCTTACTATTATAATAGACCAGAGAGGAAGAAACAGACTAAAAATAGCCCATGATTGTGTTAGGGAGTCCTCTCACATTTGGAGAGTCATAAGTGACCTGTGAAAGGGGATAGGCAGGTCAATCAAGTATTCTCTGAGTCACTGCTCTGTGCTCTGAGAACAGCAGGGAGCAGAGCTTGTCCTTGAGGACTCTACAATTATGTTGTTCAGACCAATCTCTCAACCATTCATTCACTCAGCAAATATTGAGTGAGCATCTCCTCTCAGGCAGGCACCGTATTAGGCGCTGGGATATGGAATTGAATAAGCCCTTATATTCTGGAACTAGAAACAAATAACACAAGAAATACTAATGAGATAATCACAGAATATAAGAAGTATGCCACATGGGAAAATAAAGCAGTGTTTTGTAGGACAGAGAGTGGACTAGGTTGGGTGGCATGCTACTCAGATCATTCCTTTCAGGGATAAGCATCCAGCACTTCTGGGCTCTGTGGTTCCAGGGCAGGGTGTGGGGGGGTGGTGCTGCCAACAAGGAGCCATAGCAAGAATCACATATACCTTAAGCTATGGCACCACCTGGTCACTTCAGGCTCCTGGCAATTGCCTCTGATTATCATCAAGAAGTAGGCTGCTACTGCACAATGGGAGCAGGGAAGAATGTATTGGTCACCCAGATGATCTATGGCAGCCTTTCTTGCCTGATTTATTAGTAAATGGGTAAATGAAGCAGTCATGGCCCAAGAAGGCCATGGTGACATAGCTCAGGCCCCTCACCAGGTACGCCATGAACCAGCATGCTTGTTTTAAAGGGTGGGGAATCCAGAATGAGTAGGACTGGGGGAAGATCCTGAGGGCAGCCATGGTGGTGGGGGCTGGATTTATTCCACTAATTTTCTTCTTGTGGGTTTGCCCAGAAAAAGAGCTCAAGAATCTCCAAAGAGTTGTTCACAGAAGGGAGCAAACAAAGAAGTAGATCTCAGTAGCACAAGGAATGGAGTATAGCACATGACATGATGGTCCTGCAAAATATCCCCCTTCAGGATACTGGCACTCATTTTCCCCGTTACTGGGACTGTTGTTGGCTGACAGCTCTGAGCTGAATCACTCTCTGAGAACTGCCTTCCATGAGAGGGTCGCCTTTCCTAAGGCAATGTCCCCTTCACATGAGCAGCCTGCACCTAGAGACTGGCCAGTGTAGGGGTACAAGGCCCAGCCCCCTTGAGTCAGAGGAGGGCAGATCTAAAGGGCCACCTCCACTCAGGGCTCCCAGTGGGATCAATTCAGTTTTTGTTGTGAATTTATGTCAGCTTAACCCTTCACTCTGCTCACTGTCGTTTCTTTCACACTCCCTTCTCCTGCGCCTCCCCTGCAAAATGCTGGTCCTGTAAACTTTCTGCCAACAGGTCTCTTTCCTGGAGAATTCAACTCAAGACAGTGAATGACTGATGGAAGGAGAATTGATTTATATAGTGTTGTCAAGAGAAGACCTCTCTGAAAGGGTAATGTTTAAGCTGAGTTCTGAATGATGGGAGGACCCAGCTGTGAGAATACACTTGGGGAAAGTATCTCAGGAATAGGGGATGATTAGTATAAAGTCTGTGAGGTGGGAACAATCTTGGTGTATTAAAGGCCTGTGAGGCTCAAGGGTAGTGAAGGGGAAGGAAAGTAGAATAAATGGAGAGAGAGAGGATGACAAGGCCAGGTCTTGCAGGGTCTTATAGGCTGCAGTGAAGAGTCTGAGTTTTATTCTAAGGGTGATGAGAAGTCATTGGAGGGGATCAAGCAGAGGAATGAAAGGATCCAATTTACATATTAAAAAGATCACTCTGGCTACCGTGAATTCAATTTCATCAGGGAGACAAGACTAACTGACACGGAAAATTAGAGAATAACCTCAAAGCAATATGATTCTGTGGCAATAAAGAGCAGGCATCAGACTCTTTGACATGAGTATATCTCATGTTCATTGACTATTTGTTTAATAATA